TCGACTCAACATGCATAACAAGAATATGTAGTCATGATCAGCTTGAGATGATCGCAATAATTTCGAACATTCAAATTTCATCTCCAGTCCAGTGTAATCGCATATGCACAACATTTATTTACAATGAAAACAGTGCACAAACCTGATGGACAAAATGAGCAAAAAGAAGACCATGGCAACGAAAGCAAAACGTAGCGGGTTCAATACACATGAATTGAATTTCTATATATGCAGAGTGTCCAGATGACAAACTTCAACGACGCAGCAAAGAGGAAAATTGCTATGGAAAGTTAGCTAGATCAAAGCATGAAAATGCACGACAAGACTACAGCGACAGTTTTTGAATCCAAGATTTCATCTGCAAACTATGGTGAGACCCATCCATGAGAAAGTGAAACTGATAAGCAAAGAGAAATCATGCACATAGAGTTTACAGAAAGGCAGCAATTCCAAAAATCTGACAGAGGTGAGAACGAAAGGACCACCTCTTATCTCTATGACTATGAATACAGTCAAAGAATTGCAATCCGCCATGGTCCGAGACCGTTCCACCGGCACTGATGGTAAGATGATGGGACTGACGACTTCGCGCCTTTCCGTATATACAAAACAGTCTGAAAGGATCCTTATAATGACTATACTTACTAGCTTTTCGAAATGCCTCAATTTGTGCTGCAAGGTATGCCGCCGAAGAGTGATCACGACAAATTTCGGCGCAACAATAAAAGCCAGAAGTATAAAGCCAATCCGGGTATTGTGTAGCACTGGGGCGAATGACACCTTCTCGAAGAATTTCTGCAGCAGTAAGTCGCGCACAATTGTGAGCAAAAGCGTAGCCGGATTTAAAATCAATGTCCACATGTTCAATTTGAGGAATATTCATATGCAATTTGATTCCCAGCAATTTCCCATTGTGACTGATCAATGACACGTCCTGGAAATGTTCAGCGACGGAACTATGGGAACAAATCGCACAACTAAGGTGCACGCATAATTGACGCAAAGGTGTTGTCATTTCAATTTGTTGACTCAATGTCTGTTGCAGAAAGATTGCAAAAGATTCAGAAATTGTTGTCAGCCGATTTTCCGGAGTATATCCAGCCGTTTGAAAATATCGATCATTCAGAATGTATGGCTGTTGATACTCCTGAATGCGGTTCAATTCCAAAGCATTCTTCAGTCTGTTGTGCGAATCATGAAGATCTTTGGCTAAACGTTTTAACATCAACGTGTAAACCTGATTCCAATCAGTATCTGTCGGGGTGGCCATGTTCTCTTCCAAAGAAGTGCAGGAAAAACTGGCTACGACAGAATGCACAAACAGTTGAGAAAACATTGGATGAGGAACTTCCAAAATGGTTTCCCCAGCAATGAAAAAGGAGATCAAAGTTGCTGGAAGTTTCGAATTATGGAAATAAGTACTTTGAACAGGAACACCATCATAATCATGCTGTCGAACGGCAGAACCCAACTGAGCCCCTGCAGAAGTTGGCGATGTCGATCGTAGTTGAGAACTATAGGGCCCCGACTGGTTGTCCACTGTCTGCCTTCTCCGCGTAGGCATTGAATCACATTGATTGGGTCCCGGGCCAGAAATTGAGTGTCCGACCGTAGACGAAGTTCCCACCCGAAAAGTGCAGGGTTCCGGACCAGAAACATCCGTTTGTGGACCCCGACATGGTTGGTACACAGATAAACAGGAACATGGTGAGTTCATCAGTGTTGGATTTACCGTCATCATCATTTGTTGAAAATTCCACATATTTTGTTGCATTTCAGCCTGTC